ATATCTCTAGTTGTGGAAAGATATGGGAAAATAGTTTAAATAGCTTTATTAGTTTTATATTCACTCATTCTAGTTGAAATCTATTGAAAAACAAGACAAAAACTGAAGTAAAACATGCTAGAATTCATGATGAAGTAAAGATGCAATAATGAAATAATAATAGTAAGTAATAATGCAGTAGAAGTCAGAATGCAAAAACGATTCTCCCCGGCCGGGAATTGAACCCGGGTCTCGCATGTGACAGACGCGGATACTAACCACTATACTACCGAGGAAGTGGTTAGGATTGATAAAAGTCGACTCATGAAGGTTCAAATGAAACTCAGTTCAAAGGAAAGTCGGCTAGATTATATTCACTCATTCTAGCTTTATTTCTATTGAAAAACAAGATAAAAACTGGAGTAAATTGTAGAAGAGATAAAACATTCAATTAAAGATATTCAGTTGAAAGATAAAGCATTCCATTCAAGATATTCACTTAAAAGCTCATAATATTCCGTTAAAAGATATTCAGTTAAAAGAGATCCAATCAAAAGCTCAAACTGAGCTCTTTCCAATCAAAATCCAATCAAAAGCTCTTTACTTTCATTTACTTTACTTTACAGTTTTTTTTACGATATCCAGAATGATAGAAATTGTTGAAATTGGATCCAAAAATTCAAAAATTTGAACAAAAAGCATTGAATTTAAATGAGCTTTGGTGGCCTTTATCACTCGACTTTTATCACCGCCCCTCAGCTTCCTCGGTAGTATAGTGGTTAGTATCCGCGTCTGTCACATGCGAGACCCGGGTTCAATTCCCGGCCGGGGAGAGTCCTTTTTACTTTTCACAAATTTCAATCTTTTATTGATGCGAATGTGTTTAAAACTTGATTGACTTAAAAATGACTTTTTAAAACCGCCTCTCAAAAGATCGCTTTTATGATAAAGAAAGGGATAAAAGGAACCGAGCCCACTTTATATTATCCTTTCCGTCTATTCTTTTCCTTATTCCCTTTCGTATTGCCTTTTCGTATTGCTATGAAACACTGAACCAACGATTGATTCTATTCTTTTGTATTTTCTCGCTAGATTAGTATTGTGCTATTAGGTTGATGCATAAGTGTTTTCGTTTTTTTCGTACTTCTGTTAAAAAGTAACAAATTCACGAATTAATCTATAGTTTGCTCTATAAAAAAAGTGTTTTTTTGTTCAATTTGCATCTTTTTAAATGAATTTCGGTTCACTTTCAAGCAAATTCGAGAGTGAAAAACGCCTTTTTCGTAAAAATCTATAAAAAACTCTACGGAAAAATTGGCTGAATGAATTTCTCTGAAATTTTGGCGAAATATCAAACGTTTTTTTTCTCTATCTTTTATCTATTGACACGAAGATAGGTTTTCTTTAGCTAAGGTGTCTAAACCGCATCATCGAGTTAGCCCTTTTTGACTACCCGACTTCATACTCTCAAGAAAATCCAGGCATTAAATATTTTTAAACCCGTTTTAATGTTATTTTGCAGAAAAATAATTGGTTTTTCTAATGAAATCAACCGTAGTTTAATTCGTGCATTTGTTGGCTTGAAACGGCAGACGAAAAGGAACAAAAACACTTATGCATCAACCTATTAGTTTCTAGTTTTATCAAAAGTGATCAAACTTGCTGTGTAAAGTTGAATCTTTACCCTAATCCTGACACTGATCTTAATCCTGATCTTGATTTTAACCTTTATCATGCTCTTGAGCATATCTTGAGCTTATAGTGGGCTTCTAGTGAGCTTGGAGCTTATAGTGGGCTTCTAGTGAGCTTATAGTGAGCTTATAGTGAGCTAACTTGACTCTATTCAACGTCTATCATAATCTTTCGTTATTTTTTCGATTTTAAAGTGCATGAAGTTTCTTAATTATCTTATTCGAATAGATTTGGTCGTTAGTTTCTTGTTTTCTTGTTTTCTAGTTTTCTAGTTTTTTAATTAACCTATTAGATTAAATATCTAATAATCAGAATAAATATCTAATAATCATCGTCCCTATCGGTATTCTCTCACACACTGCACAGAGTTTTTTTTTTGCTCACCTCAACTTAAAAAACATATTTACAAATGTTTCCTTAGCAATAAACCTTTTCTAAAGGATGCCATTTACTCCATTTATTCTAATCTTTACTCAATTTTCATTCAATCGATCTACTTTTTGTATTTTTCACTGTCTTTTGTAAATCTAGACGAAAAATAAAAAGGATTGAATAAAAATCGAACAAGATTACGGTAAAAAAGGACAAGTTTTAGGAAATGGAGAAAGATGGATCGTTTAAAAGAGTGTTTTTTTTTGCTCACCTTGTACGCTCGTTGTGCTTCCTTTAGCACGGAAAGCACCAATTTGATGGGGAAAAACGTGGAAACTCGATAGAAAATGTCAAACGGTGAATAGAAAACAAGATACCAAATAGCTGTGGCCTGAAATTGCACAAGCTTTTTATAAATTTACAAGAAAAGCTTTACCGCTAAAACGTCGAAATGATTGCGGAAAGGCTCAATCGGTGCCTCGCCGAGCAAAAAATTTGCCAACAGGGTTCCTGGGTTTTTTTTTTGTTTCAATTCAAATTTGACAAATTCAAAAGAACAAATTCGGCTTTGCTCTTTTATTTCGTCTCTAGTTTTGTCTCTAGTTTTGTCTTTAGTTTTGTTTCATTTTTTCAAAAAAGAAACACAATCACCTGCAAAAGAAATCATCATCGTTGAAAGCCAACACGAGAATGGATGCTGACGGGCGAATTGCAAAGCGGATGGGCCGAGATCGTCACGAACGGCGATCGCTGACTAAAGAAATTTCAAGATCATCGTTGACTAAAGAAAATTCAAGATCATATCAAGATTCAAGATTGTTTTTAAAAAGATTTGTGTCTTTAGTTTAAATTGTTGAAACTATTCCATTTAAAAAAGATTTCTGCAATTTTTTTTTTGCGCAACTCGCCATAACTTTCTTCTGAGTCGACCAATCTTTATGATTTTGGTGTCATTTTGTTGCACTTATTGAGATCTACAAAATGACACCAAAACCATAAAGATTGGTCGACTTAGAAGAAAGTTATGGCGAGTTGCGCAAAAAAAATTGCAGAAATTAGCCTACCCCAGACTTTTAAAAAGAAGTTACACTACGTGACTGTACGGAAAGATAGCGTTCGATTAGAGTATTTATAGTACTTTCTTTACTCGTAATATAGCCAGGTCAAGCCAGCTTCCCCGGTACTCTAATTACTAAAGATTACTGTATCTTTAGCTTTAACATTATATAAAATACTAGCCGAAAAACCCGCCGAAAAACCAGCTAGAAAAGCTGGAGCTAAAAACCTTATTTGCTAGTTGAACCTTACCAAAAAAGAAAAATTGAATATTCAAGTTTGAGAGGCACTTCGGGGGGGGGGGGGGGGGAACCTGGACCGTCTGGTGCCGTAGACAAGCGCGCTGCCGACTGCACCATAGCGACCATCCGTCACCCCCAAAAGATTCAGCTAGAAAAGTCCGCCGTTAGGCGCAGTGTCACTCAATCTTAACTTTTCAATTTTTCTAGCTGGATCTTTTAGGGCTGACCGTCAGGCCCTGGCGAATGGTCTCCATGGCGCATTCGGTAGAGCGTTGGTCTTTCACCCATACGGTCCTGGTTCGACCCCGCGCAGTGTTTCCCTGTCTCGAGTTTTTTGTTTTAAATTAGAGACTTTAAAATAATAATATAATGAATATTTCACAGCCTTAAGTGATTTTGTTTGGAAACATTATTTGGTCGATTGCTGGACCTAGCTGCGGATTAATTAGACTTTCTTTTTCCTTTACTCAATCCTCAAAATACATAAAACAAAAAGACTTTTAACTTTAAGTGATTTTAAGCCAATTCTAAAGATAAAAATCGTTTAAAACTCACAAAAATATAGTGCGGTACATCGAAATACGGCCACATTTCGACTTTTTGCAAGCGACGACTGTAGTGAACGAGGAGTTTCTAGAAAGATGAAGAAATCATTCGGATCAGAATAGGAACCTTATTGGAACCGTATTGGAGCCGTATTGGAACCTTATTGGAATCGTATTGGAATCGTATTGGATCAGAATAGGAACCTTATTGGAACCTTCTTGGAACCTTATTGGAACCTTATTGGAACCTTCTTGGAACCTTATTGGAACCCTATTGGAACCTTATTGGAACCTTATTGGAATCGTATTGGATCAGAATAAGGACCTTATTGGAACCTTCTTGGAACCTTATTGGAACCTTATTGGAACCTTCTTGGAACCTTATTGGAACCTTATTGGAACCTTATTGGAACCTTATTGGAATCGTATTGGATCAGAATAGGAACCTTATTGGAACCTTCTTGGAACCTTATTGGAACCTTATTGGAACCTTCTTGGAACCTTATTGGAACCCTATTGGAACCTTATTGGAACCTTATTGGAATCGTATTGGATCAGAATAGGAACCTTATTGGAACCTTCTTGGAACCTTATTGGAACCTTATTGGAATCGTATTGGATCAGAATAGGAACCTTATTGGAACCTTCTTGGAACCTTATTGGAACCTTATTGGAATCGTATTGGATCAGAATAGGAACCTTATTGGAACCTTCTTGGAACCTTATTGGAACCTTATTGGAATCGTATTGGATCAGAATAGGAACCTTATTGGAACCTTCTTGGAACCTTATTGGAACCTTATTGGAATCGTATTGGATCAGAATAGGAACCTTATTGGAGCCGTATTGGAACCTTATTGGAATCGTATTGGATCAGAATAGGAACCTTCTTGGAACCTTATTGGAACCTTGTTGGAACCGTATTGGAGCCGTATTAAAACCTTCTTGGAACCTTCTTGGAACCTTATTGGAACCTTATTGGAATCGTATTGGATCAGAAATCAGATCAGAAATCTATTCTGATCTGATGAAAAAAAGAGAGCGAAAGGAAAGCTCGCATCTGTTTTTTCATTAGAAAATCAGTCATTAAAGCGAATTTTTTTGATATTATTTATCATTTTCAATTATACCTGATCGAGTTTCCATTCGTTTGGATAGAAATCACTCCATTCGTACGCCGTCGCGTCGTCATCCATCTAAATTTACATTTAAAAGCAAAAACTTAAATGTTAAATGCAATTCTTTTATGAAAATTTGGCTAAGCTTACATTTAAGCTCGAAATTCAAACGCTAAAAACAAATACTAACTAAAATTTGCTTGAAATTACGCAGTAGAAACATAAAGAAACTTTTCTAAAAGCTAAAAATTGCCTAAAAACAATCAAAGTAATCAATCTTATAGAAGAAAAACAAAAAAAAAACAAAAACAGAACACTTTTAAACAGCTTTAAATCGAAAACAAAGCTTTAAATCTAAAACAAATCTCTTAAAAATACCAATCAATAGAATTCTAAACATTTTTTTTGAATCAAATTTCACTTGAATTCGGCCAAAAAGCTTTCTTATCATTAAAAAATGTTTCGGGGGAAATGATAAATCATTCTGAGAGTTCAAAAAGATTAGAAATTGAAGAAAGAACCGAAAAAAAAAAGAGTTGAACACTAACGAGAAGCGATTCTTTTTTCTCTTATCGCTTTTCAGTAGTCAGGGTTTAGACATTGACTACAAATGACAATCTTTACATCTTTCATCGGGCATCTCTTTCCCTCATTTTTCGGGCCAACTGCCATTGAAGTTTGTGCTGTTTCATTGAATGTAAATCATTTCATTGAATGTAAATGTAATTAAAACTTCTCTGAGCTAGAAAACAAGAAAAACTAGAAAACAATGAACTAACAAAGCAAGAAACTTCTCTGAGCTTCTCTGAGCTAGAAAACAATGAACTAACAAAACAATAAAAACTAGAAAACTTGAAAACAAGCAACTAAAAACAATAAAAACAATAACAACTAGAAAACAAGAAACTAAAAAACTAGAAAACTAGAAAACTAGAAAACAAGAAACTAAAAAACTAGAAAAACTAGAAAACAAGAAACTAACGACCAAATCTATTCGAATAAGATAATTAAGAAACTTCATGCACTTTAAAATCGAAAAAATAACGAAAGATTATGATAGACGTTGAATAGAGTCAAGTTAGCTCACTATAAGCTCACTAGAAGCCCACTATAAGCTCCAAGCTCACTAGAAGCCCACTATAAGCTCCAAGCTCACTATAAGCCCACTATAAGCTCAAGATAAGCTCAAGAGCATGATAAAGGTTAAAATCAAGATCAGGATTAAGATCAGTGTCAGGATTAGGGTAAAGATTCAACTTTACACAGCAAGTTTGATCACTTTTGATAAAACTAGAAACGAGTAGAAAGTAGTAGAAAGTAGTAGAGAGTAGTAGAGAGTAGTAGAGAGTAGTAGAGAGTAGTAGAGAGTAGTAGAGAGTAGTAGAGAGTAGTAGAGAGTAGTAAAAACTAACTAGTAAAAATGATGATTGATGCTATAAAAGCCTTTCATTCTATTCAATAAAAAGAAATAAAAACTCAAAAATTATTATCAACAATTTGATTAGAATCGGTTTTGGTGACCTTTATGAGTCGACTTTTCTCACCGCTAAACAAGTTTCTCGGGAGTATTAATTGCTAGAATTGTTATGTAATTGTTGGCACTCATTTTATCGTAGTATCAATATCAGTCCAAGTCGGTAAGGGATAATATTGCTTCTTGTTGTCTTACTGGCTTGTGGCTATTCAGCGATATGAGGAAGATTTTCTGGTTTCTAAAACTCTAGTTTTCGATGATTTCTTGATATTACAGATCGAAATTGAGAAATTAAAAATTATTGGGTTGGTGGAAAGTCTTACTGTAACCAATCAGCTATTTTCTAATGACTTTATAAGCCTGACTTTCAGTAAAATGATAGTAAGAAGCTAGCTCCAGTAAGAGGATTAATATTGCTCAATTTGATCCGTTTCAGTCCGTTTTGGACGTTTCAATCAGTCCGTTTTATTGGGTCGGTGGAAAAGTCCTTTCGGATTTTTTGGGAGAGTACCTTAAATTTGTCGAATTTTGACGTTTTATAGCTCCTTCCTAAAGCTGAATTCAAGACGGATCGATTGGTAAAAACCGTTTTGTGATATCTCTTTTCTAAAAGTTTTTACAGCTATTTTAGTAAAGGGCGGCAGAGCCCAAAAAAATGGCTGTTTTCACGTTTCGTTAGTTTATAAATATAATTCTATTTTTAAATTTCCTACAAAATGATACATTAACCATGAATGTATTGGGTTGATGGAAAAGTCCTTCCCGATTTTTTGGGAGAGTACCTTAAATTTGTCGAATTTTGACGTTTTATTTCTCACTTCTCGATAGTGCAAGAACAGGAAGACCATCGGAAATCGACGAAGACAAACTTGCTGATTTGGTTGAAGAAGATCCTCAACTTGACACGACATTCCTGCAAAAAAGCCTTCTAACAACATCAAAAAAAAATGATAAAACAAGAAAAACGAAGGAAGAAAGAAAGAAAAACGAAAGAAAAACGAAAGGCTATTGATCTGAGGGTCGCTGGTTCGACTTCCACCGGTGACAATATTTTTCAAAAATTTTTTGCTAACATTCTGAAAATGCGTGTCTAGGGGTTATTTTTGACGCTGATCACGAAACACATGTTTTTAGCCTAGGTTTCTGCACGGAAAACTAACGAAACGTGAAAACAGCCATTTTTTTTTTGGCTCTGCCGCCCTTTACTAAAATAGCTGTAAAAACTTTTCGGAAAGACATATCTCAAAACGGTTTTTACCAATCGATCCATCTTGAATTCAGCTTTAGGATGAGCTATAAAACGTCAAAATTCGACAAATTTAAGGTACTCTCCCAAAAAATCCGAAAGGACTTTTCCACCAACCCAATAAAACGGACTGATTGAAACGTCCAAAACGGACTGAAACGGATCAAATTGAGCAATATTAATCCTCTTACTGGAGCTAGCTTCTTACTATCATTTTACTGAAAGTCAGGCTTATAAAGTCATTAGAAAATAGCTGATTGGTTACAGTAAGACTACAGTAAGTCTAAGGCTACAGTAAGACTACAATAAATCTACAGTAAGTCTACAGTAAGTCTACAGTAAGTCTACAATAAGTCTACAGTAAGACCACAGTAAGTCTAAGGCTACAGTAAGTCTACAGTAAGTCTAAGTCTACAGTAAGTCTACAATAAGTCTACAGTGAGTCTATTAAGTCAACGTTCAACTCTTCATTTTGCATTCATTTCCGAAACTAATTGTATAAAACTTGAGTTTCCGTAATTTTTTTGAATTGTTTAGAGTAGATCAAGAAAGCAGCTCTTTTCACAAAGCTTGTTAACACTACAGAAAAAAAAAGCCCCACAGTGCACGACCTCAGCAAACAGAATATCGAATGACTAAAAAGGAAAGATGTTGATGGGTACTTCAATAGAGATACACTTTAGGAACTTGCAAAGAACTTGCAAAGAAAAAGGAAAAGTTCTTACAGTAATTTCTTTCAAATCGACTATTCTTTACACGATTTGTATTTACAATTTCTAACTTTATGCACTTTTTGAACAACTAACTTTAGTCAACTAATTTTGATCAATTAACTTGGATCAATTAACTTGAGGTAACTAATTTGAGCTAACTAACTTGGGCCAACATTTGAGCCTTGAGCCTTGAGTCAACATTTGAGCCTTGAGCCAACATTTGAGACTTGGACCTTGAGCCTTGAGTCAACATTTGAGACTTGAGCCTTGAGTCTTGAGCCTTGAGTCTTGAGCCTTGAGTCTTGAGCCTTGAGTCTTGAGCCTTGAGTCTTGAGCCTTGAGTCTTGAGCCTTGAGTCTTGAGCCTTGAGTCTTGAGCCTTAAGCCTTGAGCCTTAAGCCTTGAGCCTTAAGCCTTGAGCCTTAAGCCTTGAGCCTTAAGCCTTGAGCCTTAAGCCTTGAGCCTTAAGCCTTGAGCCTTAAGCCTTGAGCCTTAAGCCTTGAGCCTTAAGCCTTGAGCCTTAAGCCTTGAGCCTTAAGCCTTAAGCCTTGAGCCTTAAGCCTTGAGCCTTAAGCCTTGAGCCAACATTTGAGACTTGAGCCTTGAACCAACTTGAGCCAGGTCAACACTGTATTGTTACTATCTAGTAGTATCGTAATACTCACTGTAGAGTTGATTCGTAATATCGAGCTTGAGCTTTTGTAGTATAATACCGAATCTACTGTCATCTTGGCCTTGTCTTAGTCTTGTAATCTTGGCCTTGTATCAATCTACAATCAATCAATAAAGTATCATTTGTAAAACTTTCCTAAACCTCAAATCTTTCTCTCAGAAAGCGTTTCACAATTTTTGCTAGCACCTTTAAAACTCGAAAGCTAATGGTTAAAAGAATTCCGAGGACAATAATCGCATCAGAAAGAGATGTTCGCCTAGGATTTTCTTTTAAACCTTTTCTTTAAGAAAAGAAAAGTGAAAAGAAAGAATTTAAGCTCTAATCACTTTGCTAAAACCATTATCGGGGCGACTCGGGGGTGGACACAGAGTCCAGAGAGGCCACAGCGTCCACAGAGTCCACAGAGTTCACAGAGTCCACAACGCTACCCCTCCCACCTCTTTTTCATGAATATTTGCATATCAGCTCGCCACCTTTCTCATTTCCTTGAAATTTTCTAAAGATTAGAAAGCAGTGATGAATTTTGAAAGCTTTCAAAACCTCTTTTCTCTTTGCTGAATTTCATTTTTTTTTCCATTCTATTAGGTGTGTGAAAAAGTAATCCACGTTTTAAAGTGGACATAAAGAGAGTCAGCTAGACTGGTTCTTCATGCGCCTTATTTCCTTCTTTCTTCCCTTCTTCTTCCCTTCTTCCCTTCTTCTTCCCTTCTTCTTCTCTTCTTCTTCTCTTCTTCTTCCCTTCTTCTTCCCTTCTTCCCTTCTTCTTCCCTTCTTCCCTTCTTCTTCTCTTCTTCTCTTCTTCTTCCCTTCTTCTTCCCTTCTTCCCTTCTTCTTCCCTTCTTCCCTTCTTCTTCTCTTCTTCTTCTCTTCTTCTTCCCTTCTTCTTCCCTTCTTCCCTTCTTCCCTTCTTCCCTTCTTCTCTTCTTCTTCTCTTCTTCTTCCCTTCTATTAGGTGTGTGAAAAAGTAATTCACGTTTTTTATTTTTATCTGATGACCAAATAAGACGCTGTCTTCTCGAAAACCCTCGTTCAACCTCTTCAGAAATAGGCCTTACATTAAATTGTGATGGGTCAACCGTAAGGAAACGCTTGAATGCCATGAATTTTATCAAGAAGTTAGACAAATGGATACCGCATGAACGAAAACGCGCGACCACATGTCTCTTTACAGACTCGACAAAAAATCCAGAGTGTTGGATGGGAGGTTTTACCACATCCACCTTATAGTCCAGACCTTTCTCCATCTGATTATTATTTATTTTTGTCTCTGTCTAACTTTTTGGCCAATCGTTCCGCCGGCCAACGGTTCAATTCCGAAGAAGATGTCAAAACCGAGGTTGATGGTTCATCTTTTCTTCGCCTCTAAGGACCAAGATTTTTATTATCGTGGAATATCTTTACTTGTAGAACGTTGGCAAAAGGTTGTTCTTTCGAATGGTGATTACTTTGTTGAATCAAAATTATTTTAACGAAACTTATGGTCTTTTATATATTTAAACGTTAAAAACGTGGATTACTTTTTCACACACCTAATATTAGATCAAAATAGGAACTGTATTGGAAGTATTGGATCAAAATAGGAACCGTATTAGAAGTATTAGATCAAACTTTTTCACACACCTAATATTCAAATTTAAAATTCATTTAAAATTCATCTTTTTCTTATTTCAGATTCGAAATCCTAATCAAAATAGATTGAAATTGAAATCCTAATCAAAATTTGTGACTTTTATTCTAACCAAATCAAAGCTTAGAATAGTTTTCAGCGTTTCAGCCCACAAAAAAAAAAATGCTATTCCTTATTCTCTGGCTCACAGTCACCGCCGAGCACATCATTAACGAGTTCTCGAGTCGTTACGGCTACATTGGACCCGCTTGTGCGGTTGAGGTTTGAAAGAAAATTCTCGATCATTGCACACCAATTTATCAAACATCTTACAAGGATTCAATTTAGGACGGTCAACTTTTCCTGCACGGTGTGCTAGTGCGAAATTTGAGTGACACAGAGGCTGATGAGTTTAAAAAGTATCAACATCTATTGCAGACATTTAAGAGGTTTTTTTGTCTTTTTGATACGTTAAAAGGAAAAGAATTTAGAAGTAGAAGTAGAAGAAGTAGAATAGAGAAGAAGTAGAAAAAGTAGAAGTAGAATGGATAAGAAGTAGAAGAAGTAGAAGAAGTAGAAGTAGAAGTAGAAGAAGTAGAAGTAGAAGAAGTAGAAGAAGTAGAAGTAGAAGTAGAAGAAGTAGAAGAAGTAGAAGTAGAAGTAGAAGAAGTAGAAGTAGAAGAAGTAGAAGTAGAAGTAGAAGAAGTAGAAGAAGTAGAAGTAGAAGAAGTAGAATAGAGAAGAAGTAGAAAAAGTAGAAGTAGAATGGATAAGAAGTAGAAGAAGTAGAAGAAGTAGAAGTAGAAGAAGTAGAAGTAGAAGAAGTAGAAGAAGTAGAAGTAGAAGAAGTAGAAGAAGTAGAAGTAGAAGTAGAAGAAGTAGAAGTAGAAGTAGAAGTGGAAGGAGTAGTAGAAGAAGTAGAATAGAGAAGAAGTAGAATAGATGCCGTAAATACTGTAATAGTACCCCACCCCCATAATGACGGTGCGGAGCGTTGCGTAGTCTAACTTTGAACGAGTTTTTCTCGACACTGCTTTATGCTACAATGTGCGCTTAGGTATCAAAAAATAGCTGAAATTCAGGGCTATTTTTTGATACCAAAGACGCATTTTTTGAAAGTACGGGTGCTTTGCAAAAAATGAAATACTAAAAAACTTTTGCAACTACGCGACTGTACGAGGGGGGTGGGGTACTATTACAGTATTTACGGTAAGAAGTAGAAGAAGTAGAATAGATAAGAAGTAGAAGAATATAAGAATTTAGAAGTAGAAGTAGAAGAAGTAGAATAGATAAGAAGTCGAAGAATATAAGAAGTAGAAGAATATAAGAAATAGAAGAATCTAAGAATATAAGAATATAAGAATATAAGAATATAAGAATATAGGAATATAAGAATATAAGAATATAAGAATATAAGAATATAAGAATATAGGAATATAGGAATATAAGAATATAGGAATATAAGAATATAAGAATATAAGAAGCATAAGAATATAGGAATTTAAGAATAAGCATTTAAAAAGTCATTGTTGTGCATAAAAATCGCTTAATCGTAGCCTAGGACACGACAAAAACAAGGCTCTAACTTCTTTTCTTTCCAACTTTGCTGAGGTTTCTAAACTCTGGATTAAGCAAAAGTCAGAATCGCATTGTCAGCAGGATGGCATTGTCAAGGATTATTGAGAAAACTTGTAGATTTCAATCCCTTTTACATTTCAAAAAGTTGTACATTTCAATTCCCTTTTCAGACTGAGCGAAAATCGTCAAATCGCCGACGCTCCAGTGATTCCACCATTTTGTGGTGGCGTTGACGATTCAACAGAAATCGTGCTAAAAGATTGCATTGTTCGGGTAATATATCTTTCTTTATTTGCTTAACAAGAAACTACTGTAATGATTAGAAGACTTCAAACAGCGCAAACAGCGCAAACAGCTCAAACAGCGCAAACAGCTCAAACAGCTCAAACAGCTCAAACAGCTCAAACAGCTCAAACAGCTCAAACAGCTCAAACAGCTCAAACAGCTCAAACAGCTCAAACAGCTCATTTTAAACCTTTAGAATCTTCACGTTTATGTCGGGGAAACACTCTTGCGACCACTCAACAACAAAGAACGGCAAAAAGTAAGCACAAACATTCCTGTTTTCCAGTTTTTCCAGTTTTCTAATAATTTTTCGATTCGTAAGATTCGTAAGATGAATCTATCAAGCTTAAAAAGTATTTTATTAATTTGAATTTTAGATTTTGAGCACAATAAATCGTCGTTCCTCTCGTGCTTTCAATGCGCGATCACTTTTTTTGCGACGTTTTCGAAACGATCTCCAACAAAAGAGAATCAAAAGAGAATCGTTTGTCTTAAAAACTTTCAAATATATTAAACCTTGTCTATATTTATTTCTTAAAAGTTTTTTGTTTTTTGATTAAAGAAATTCAACTCATTTGACAAGCTCTTAAACAGTACAGTTACCTTATTCTCTCTAATAGTAGTGCACCCTAAGCTTTCTAGTGCACCCTAATTCCTCGAAATCTCGAAAAGCGCTTATCAGAACCTATCGAAAAAGGAAAATGGTACAATGGTTGAACTTCAATCTAACAATGATAAACCTTAAGGCTAATAGCTTAGTACTAAAGTAGATCTGAGGTTAAGTAGATCTGCTTAACCCATTCGAAACCGCAGCGTTTTTTCTTTTTTTTCGTCTACGGACCAAGCCCTTTTTTGACATTTTTGACTCCGAAGCAGTTTATTTATGGTTGGAAAGATGCAAGAGAGTCTCCTACACCATTTATTTTTGATGAAGAACGATTTGGATTTGACTTCAGTACTTTTCTAAATCCTATATTATTCTTATTTTATCGACGACAAATTAATCAGCATGTTAGTAGGCGAATCTAATAAACATGGAAAAAGGAAAAAAAAACTGGCAGGATTTCGATGCAAGCTCTTCCTGGCTCTGTATCGTGACTACTGGAGTAGCAGGCCTGGATTAGGAGGATTTTCCCACATGTCCCACATTATGTCAAGAGCAAAATTTGAATCTATTCTTCGAAACCTGCGTTTTTGTGATAATGAACTGGATCCTGCGGGAGATCGGCTTTATAAGATTAGAGCTATTATGGAACATTTCAATGCAAAACCAGAGACTGCATTGATTCCGGGTAAATATAAAACATCTTCTTTGCCCACGTAATTTGTAGATCTGCTACAATTGGAATATACATGCAATGCTGAAAAACAGCAAAAAAAAACCAATTAATTGAATGAAAATAGCTCAATTAGCGCTGCAGCGAATAATCGCTGCAGCGGTCCGTTCCTGAGTTTTTGCTGCAGCAATTATTCGCTGTAGAAGTTTCGAATGGGTTAAATAGATCTGAGTCTAGGTAGATCTGCTTAAGTAGCTCTGCTTAAGTAGATCTACTTAAATAGTTCTACATAAATCGATCTGCTTAAATAGACCTGCTTAAATAGATCTGTTTAAGTAGATTAAGTCTAATAGCTTAGTACTAAAGTAGATCTGAGCTTAAGTAGCTCTGCTTCAGTAGCTCTGCTTAAGTAGATCTGAGCTTAAGTAGATCTGCTTAAGTAGATCTAGCCTAACAAAGCTTTATCAAAGCTTATCAATTCTTAAATCAAGTCTTGTAGTTTTTAAAACCTTAAAGGTTTATAGTGAAGATTCAATTATTTGATAAAAATTGGATAAGTATTTAGCGTATTTTCTCTAGTAGTAGTGCACTCTAAGCTCTCTCTAAATTCCTGGAAATCTCGAGAACCGCTTATCAGAACCTATTGATGTTGGGTCGGAAAATGTAGCTAACGATGAGATCTAGTGGGGGATTTGAGTGTTGAGCTTCTGTGAAAGCTTGGGAGCTGTAAAATAGTGATCAACTCGGCTCACCGAGGTGCACTACTATTAGAGAAAATAGTTTCTATCATAAAAATCTTTTCAATCTTCATTGTGCTTTTGAATCTTTGCAAACGCAACCCATCTGGCGCATTGAAATCTTTATTTTTCTTGGAAACGAGGTGAAAACCTAGATAAAACCTAGATAAAACCTAGATAAAACCTAGATAAAACCTAGATTTCTGGCGGACTAGAGAAAGCTGAACAAAGGCAGTTGCAAGCTTGGCTTAGCCTGATCAAAATCCTTTTTAAAGTAGAACAAGCAGTTACAAAAGTAAGAGTTTTTTTTTATATTTATTTATGTTAAAATATTATTTAAAAGCCATTTAAAACCCATTTAATAACATTAAAATGGGTTTTTTGTTGATTTATTTGACTCAAATTTGGGTTGAAGTCAATTTTCTTTGGAAAAAAGTGGAAAATTGAGTATTTTTTTGATAATTTTCTTGCAATATCAATTGATTTTATGCTATAAATTAGTTTAAAAATAAGATTAAGACAAAAATTTCATCAATTTAACTAAAAGAAACTTTTTGAATTGAAGAAAATCGCTAAAAATTATCGAAAAAAAATGAAAAAGCAAGAAATTCTTCGAAATTTCTGAGAAAACTCATTCAAGAGCTTGTAAAATGTTTTGTAAATCTTCAATTGGGAAACTTTTAAGAGATAAATGTAGCCAAGAAGTCAAGGTATCAATCTTTAGATAATAATTAGCATATTGAGGTTGAAATTGAGGCTTGCGAGGTGATCAAAAGTGATCAAAAGTTGATCAAAAGTTGTAAACACTGCAAAAAACTCTGTATTTTGTTGTGGAGAGCCGAAAAAACTCTTAAAGATTGAAAGAATTTATCTATTTTATCTATTTCTTTCAATTTACAGCCAACCAACTGGTGAAAACATTTCCGATCTCATTCATCGTTACTTGAAAGTAAGTTCAGTCAAGAAATCTTCAGAAATATTACCTTCAGAGCTATCAGGCTTCAGAGCTATCAGGCTTCAGAGCTATCAGGCTTCAGAGCTATCAGGCTTCAGAGCTATCAGGCTTCAGAGCTATCAGGCTTCAGAGCTATCAGGCTTCAGAGCTATCAGGCTTCAGAGCTATCAGGCTTCAGAGCTATCAGGCTTCAGACTCTAAAAGAGCTATCAGAATTGTTTAATTGATTAATCGAGCTAACTTTGGCTCCACTTTCAATCAAATAATCAAGCTAGTTTCGTTAAATTTCTGATTCCTGATTCATTGTTGATATTCTTTCAGATCAACTCCTCAATCACAGCTCGTTTCCTGCCCGTTGTCGGTCAATCAGCGATTTTCTCTCCTTTAAACGAATGGGATCCAATCGCTAAAAAACGTTTGTTTAAAAATCTAAAAATTGAGTGCACTTTGTGTTAGAAACATTCCCTTTCTAGTGCACTTTCTAGAAACATTCTCTTTCTAGTGCACTTTGTGCTAGAAACATTCTCTTTCTAGTACACTTTGTGCTGGAAACATTCTCTTTCTAGTGCAGTTTGTGCTAGAAACATTCTCTTTCTAATGCACTTTGTGCTGGAAACATTCTCTTTCTAGTGTACTTTGTGCTAGAAACATTCTCTTTCTAGTACACTTTGTGCTGGAAACATTCTCTTTTTAGTGCAATTTTAACTTCAAACTTTAGCAATCTCTGCTCCAAACTCATCCGAAATGTTTTCTTTCACAAAAGTCACGAATTCTCCCACTCCAATCCCTCCAGATACAACAAAAGCAACAAATTTGACGACAAGTGAATATTTGAAAACATGTACGTTTTAGGCTTATGTTTTTGGCTTAGGTTTACTTACAGTAAACTCTAAAAATGTTAGAGTTATTGTAAGTCTAGAGAATCGAGCTTTTAAAGTCGTTTTCAGTCTTTTAAAGTCGTTTTCAGTGATCCCATCCAGACCAACGAGGAGTCGATCAATTGCTGAAACAACAACGGTATCATTTCTTTTGTCTAGTTGAGTCAAAAGATGTACTTTGTGCTTGGAAAATGGAAACACATCATTTCTAACGCACGCAATTCTTTGCATCAATCACTTGAGCTGTAATTGCGACTTGTAATAAAGTAAAGAAATGAATAGCAAAGAATTTGGAGGAGAATTTAACCCTCGACCTATTGCTTACCGCTGAGCTTATCACTAAGATGCTTTATCACTTAAATATCCACGCCTTGTTTACCCAAGAAGAAATAGGAAAGATAAGGAAGAGAGGGAAGCTAAAGCTACCGTAACTAATAGCCGATTTATAGTACCTGGGTAGAGAAGTCTAAGACATGGTAAAGATTCAGGAGAGGGTATGGTCGCTATTCTCTAGTAGGGTTACGGTAGTTGGAGAGTTCTTTAGAGCAAGTTAGGCTACGGTAGCTGGAGAGTTCTTTGGAGCAAGTCGGGCTACCGGTAGCTGGAGAGTTCTTTAGAGCAAGTTAGGCTACAGTAGTTGGAGATTTCTGAGAGCAAGTCGGGCTACCGGTAGCTGGAGAGTTCTTTAGAGCAAGACGGGCTACGGTAGTTGGAGAGCCCTTTAGAGCAAGTTAGGCTACAATAGCTGGAGAGTTTTTTAGATCAATGACTCGAGCACCAGAAAGGGTGTGCTTAAGAATTATTGAGCACAAAGTACGCCCAGTATTCCTAAACAATTTCAGTCTCTCGAACCGATTCGTCGCTTCGGTCATTTTGCTCGAAAGCCTCCGACGAGATGGGATCTAATGAGTTTGGAGAGTTTTCAATTGAAAAACTTTCCTCTTTCAGATGCAAGCGCTCAATTATCACAGTACGCAAAGACGAGAAAGGAGACGAAAAGTGAAGAGACAGTCAATGATCCGACGATTCTATCGATCATCGCAAGGTGGGCTAGATTTAAATCTAGATGATCTAAATCTAAACTAATCATCTCGATACGGTGATAAACTCAATAAAATCAATATCTTCAATCGATTCCCCGACCCTGAAAACCCCTAAGTACAAGTTTTCAGCTTTAAATCTTAAATGGGAGCCATTTAAAGAACAAAAGAATTCCTGGATAAATGATGTGATGTGTTCTTTGTGTGATGCGCACAATCGCTCGCTTTCTGGCACCCCCTGCTGATAGATAGATGTTCCTTTTGGCGTCGATTAAGCTGTCTGGCCAAGCAAGTCATAGACGTCAATGTGGAAGGGAGTCAGGCTACGGTAGCTGGAGAGCTCTTTAGAGCAAGTTAGACTACAGTATCTGGAGAGCTCTTTAGATCAAGCTGGGCTACGGTAGCTGGAGAGTTCTTTAGAGCAAGACGGGCTACGGTAGCTGGAGAGTTCTTTAGATCAATGACTCGAGCGATTGAGACATTTTCATCGTCACTATTCCCAATTATTCCCAATAATTTCTACCTTAAATTTTAGCTATATTTTTCAAGAAATCCTACATCCTCTAAAGCTCTAAATTCAAAGTAAACTCTTTATTGAAATGCTGGTGCTTTACACACAAAATTCGGGAAAACAGTCTCCTTCGGGTCATCGGCAGCGATGTACCAATTGCCGTGTGGATTCCCGCAATCATTGCAATTGATCGGATAGGAGAACATCTAGAATTTTCAGAATATCTTTCTCAGGATTGCTCCGACTTTAAGAATACTGTAGCCTAGTGGGTTACTGTACCGAAAACTCACCAATATCATCGAGTTATCATTCGGCTCATAGCACATCAAATCTCCAACATAGTCCCCATCACTTCCATCCAACCATTGACGAACGCCGGCTACTGGAACTCAGGAAATTTTCGGGGCTGATCTGGGTGGACTTATGGTCTAGAGGCCTGAAGAACCTGGTGGACAATGTGTCGAAGAAAAGGGAGCAAAGGAAGTTTGTGGTCGATCAATTGGAAATGAGAAAACAAAGATTTTCGTGATGTTGGCGGCACGATCGGATGGCTTCAAATGCAAACCGTTTTTTCTTTTGCGCAGAAAGCGGATCGATTCGGTTATTCAAAAGCAAGTTGCAAATAAGTTGAATTTCCTTTGGGAAGGATGAACCACTTGGATGAAGACAAAATTGACAACCAGTTTCCCTAAGCGTACTTTTGGACATGCCGGGATTGACAGCCAATTTTCTGAAGCCTACGTTCGGACATGCTGGGATTGAGAGCCAGTTTTCTTAATCATACATTGGACATGCCGGAATTGGCAGCCAGTTTTCTTAATCTTACATTGGACATACCGGGATTGACAGCCAGTTTTCTTAAGCCTACTTTCGGACATGCCGACATTCAAGTCTTGTTGTTTTGGGAAAGCTTTCGACTCTGACTCTGATCTAGAAGAAAGCTTAGCTGCAGATCTGGGCTTTGCTTTGGCTTTACAAGGTTTAGGCTAACATTTTGTGATAGACGAATCTTATTTCTGTAACTTTCTTACTTGATTTATCATAGTACCCTCCCAGCACAACGGTTCCCTCAACATATTGTGACGTTTCGTTGTAGCACGAGACCGCGTACGTCATTTCTAAAGAGAAAGAGGAGCTTTTAGAAAGTTGAGAAGTTTTAGATCGAAATTCTTTACCAAAAATAAACGCGTTCTCAACATTGTTATGAATTGAGGTCAAATGTCCACCGTTGGCTCGACAGAAAATCTCGGCTTGATTGAAAGATTTCTTTTCGCCTTTCTAAAAATCTTATTTAATCACAGAACGTTTTCTAAAAGGCAGCCATTTTTGAAAAACTACCGTAATCTATCAGTTTATATCCAATCAGCTCAATTTTTCTATCATTTACTGACAAGAGAAAGTCACAAGGCTGAGGTGGCATAAATGACAATAACAATGACAATGGACATATAACATTTGACGCAAAATTTTACGTTGATTCCGTTGATGATTGATTGATTGATTGATTGATTATCAATTAAAAGATGTCATAATTTTTTTTTGATCGGTTTTCGCACTCAGGTGTTCCTATTTGCGCAGATCACAACCTGCTTCCACATTTCTCTATCCCTTGCTATTGTCATCCAGTGTTTCCTAGCTCGATTCCTTCCTCTTCTTTACATATTTTGATGTTTAATCACTCAAATTCGCTTTGTTTTAACTTTACAATAACTATTATGACATCTCTGATGATTTTTGTTCTCAAGAATCATCAGACAACAAGAATCATCAAAGAACAAGAATCATCAGAGAACAAGAATCATCAGAGAACCAGAATCATCAGAGAACCAGAATCATCAGAGAACCGGAATCATGAGAGATGTCATAATAGTTATTGTAAAGTTAAAACAGAGCGAATTTGAGTGATTAAATATCAAAATAAAATGTAAAGAAGAGGAAGGAATCGAGCCTGAGGACAAAATGAGTCTAGCTAGTTCGGGAAAGAGGGCTCTTATTCACTACACCACAAGCTCACACGGCCAGAGGGTGAAAGAAGTGTTATAAAGGGATTTTTGACTTTTGATTTGAGTAAAATCTCGGTTGGATTACGATATTTTTTCTTAAAAGATACCTTTTAGAAACTCGATTATTAGGTTGATGCATAAGTGTTTTCGTTTTTTTCGTACTTCTGTTAAAAAGTAACAAATTCACCAATAATCTATAGTTTGCTCTGTAAAAAAAGTGTTTTTTTGTTCAATTTGCATCTTTTAAAATCAATTTCGGTTCACTTTCAAGCAAATTCGAGAGTGAAAAACGCCTTTTTCGTAAAAATCTATAAAAAACTCTACGGAAAAATTGGCTGAATGAATTTCTCTGAAATTTTGGCGAAATATCAAACGTTTTTTTTCTCTATCTTTTATCTATTGACACGAAGATAGGTTTTCTTTAGCTAAGGTGTCTAAACCGCATCATCGAGTTAGCCCTTTTTGACTACCCGACTTCATACTCTCAAGAAAATCCAGGCATTCCTTTAGCTAAGGTGTCTAAACCGGCATCATCGAGTTAGCCCTTTTTGACTACCCGACTTCATACTTTCAAGAAAATCCAGGCATTAAATATTTTTAAACCCGTTTTAATGTTATTTTGCAGAAAAATAATTGGTTTTTCTAATGAAATCAACCGTAGTTTAATTCGTGCATTTGTTGGCTTGAAACGGCAGACGAAAAGGAACGAAAAGACTTATGCATCAACCTATTACTATTAGGTTGGTAAAAAAGAAATGAGCGTCGTGTTTGTTGATTGGACCGCGTGGACCAGGCGCTGCGAAGTCAAGGTGTGGATACGGCGTCGACAAAATTCCTCCACGACAACGCTCGGCCGCATGTCGCAAAAATCACCCAGCAGAAAATTGAAGAAATGGGCTGGGAAGTCCTGCCTCATCCGCCATACAGCCCAGACTTGGCGCCTTCCGACTACCATCTGTTCCGACCAATGCACCACTCCTTGGCCGAGAAAAAGTTCAAGAACCGTGACGAGGTCCAAATTTGGGTGTCCAGCTTCTTCGAGTCGCAGCCGGTCAAGTTCTTCAAGAAGGGCATCCATCCAAGAAGGGCACGAAGATAGGTTTTCTTTAGCTAAGGTGTCTAAACCGCATCATCGAGTTAGCCCTTTTTGACTACCCGACTTCATACTCTCAAGAAAATCCAGGCATTAAATATTTTTAAACCCGTTTTAATGTTATTTTGCAGAAAAATAATTGCTTTTTCTAATGAAATCAACCGTAGTTTAATTCGTGCATTTGTTGGCTTGAAACGGCAGACGAAAAGGAACGAAAAGACTTATGCATCAACCTATTAGATAAAGTAAATAAACTTACATAGTAGCACATATTTGTATAGTTGAAATACGTCCAACCGGGGAGACAAGGGGATTCTGAATTGAAGTGAGAATAGACTTACAATTGCATTCTTCGTATTCAGAGCTTTCCAGGGTTTTCCAAGGTTCTCAAGGCTTACTTTTAAGATTTTAATGCTTTCCGGTCCAATTTAGAAACCCTGATCGAAGCCAGGCTCTAAACCGGTGACCCTCTAAGATTTTAATACTTTTCGGTCCAATCTAGAAACCCTGATTGAAGCCAGGCTCTAAACTGGTGACCCTTTAAGATTTTAATGCTTTCAAGTGCAACCGGGGAGACAAGGGGATTCTGAATTGGCTTTAGAATAGACTGACATTTGCATTCTTCGTACTCTACTCTTCGTACTCTTCTCTACTCTAGCTTTCCAGGAGTTTTTCAAGGTTCTCAAGGTTCCCAAGACTCACTTTTAGCTCTCAGGCATCAACTCTTGATTCCAGTGTTTAATGCAAAGATTTACTTTCACTTTTTGAGTACAATAGAATTTGCTTAGCAAATTCTATCGTACTTTTCAGTTCTTACTTTTCGGCAGCTCACAAATGAACGCGTTCGGCTGAGCACAATCGACGGAGTGCCATAGCTGCTCATCTGTGGCCAAAAAGGCGCAATTCGAGCTCGAGCCAGGATGACCTTAATATGAAATAATACAGAAACAGAAACAGAAAGTGAAACTCACTCTGAAGTGAAGTGAAATCTATAGTTGTTGGTCACTGTTTATTATTCTTACTGTCACTGGAATCTCTTTCTAAATTAGAGCTCAGCTAGTTCAGCTAGCTAATAGCTAGTTCAGCTAGCTAATAGCTAGTTCAGCTAGCTAATAGCTAGTTCAGCTAGCTAATAGCTAGTTCAGCTAGCTAATAGCTAGTTCAAGAAGAAAACAATATTTTCTACTTGCAAACGAAGCAAAAGCGGAAATGAAAATCGGAATGAGTGTAAAATTCTACGTCAAATAGTGTATGGCTCGTGTCATTTGATTTGTCATTTGATTACCACATCCGATTAGCATTCCCTTTTAAGTAAATTTGTACCCATCACATGGTAGCCAATTTCTATAACTTAATAGCTATTATGACTCTAATTTAAAAAGAGATTCCAGTGACAGTAAGAATAATAAACAGTGGCCAACAACTATAGATTTCACTTCACTTCGGAGGGCCTAGATTAGCCAAAATTCGCTCAATCATTCTGCTTTTTCTGGAGATAAATTTTCAGTATATCTTCTTAAATTATGCCCATTATCTAATCGATTTAACCTTTCAACTTTCTCTTATAACAATCCAAAGTTGAGAGCCGACTTTTGAGCAAATGCTACTTATTTATGGGATTTTTTGAGAGCACTTCAGAGGGCCTAGATTCGGTCAATCATTCTGCTTTTTCTGGAGATAAATCTGCTTGAATGTCTGCTTGAATTATGCTGCTGCTTGTCTGCTTGAATTATGCGTAAAATCGTGCGTTAAATAGTATATAGCTGGTGTCATTTGGCTAGCAGAAAGCAGAATGATTGGCTTTCGCTTGTCATCACATTTTCACCTGGTGCCCATTTGAAAAATTGACTGGTGGAGTTGTCGTCACTCCACGTCCAATCCGTTGTTGGCGATCGTTGGAGGCCGATCAGAAAGAAGCGGCTGGGTGAATCGCCTCGAAAAGAAATAAGTTTCAATTTGAAATTTCAAAGACAAATAATTCGTACTTTCTTTTTGAAAAGCAGCAATTGCAGCATTTTCGAAAGCATTATGAATGGAGATGAGAAAACCGTTGAAACTCTCGCAAATTCCCACAGCTCCATCAAAATTTGCAGCTAAATTTGAGAAAAAAATGAATGATATTATTAATTTTAATCAAAACAATGCAAATGATTTAAAAGTTTTAGGTTTTTCAATCAATTTTCAATTCAAAAGGTTGCAAAGGGCTACAAAAGGCTACAAAAAGCTACAAAAGGCTACAAAAAGCTACAAAAAGCTACAAAAACCTACATCCATTTAGCTTTGTACTTTGTGCTCAAAACAGCGTAAACAAACTTAGCGTTAGCCGTAGCCGGTTAATCGTTAGCCGGTTAATCGTTAGGTTTCAAACGATTAACCGAGCCAGCTCTCGGGACTCAGAGCCAGCTCTCGGGACTCAGAGCCAGCTCTCGGGACTCAGAGCCAGCTCTCGGGACTCAGAGCCAGCTCTCGGGACTCAGAGCCAGCTCTCGAGAATCAGAGCCAGCTCTCGGGACTCAGAGCCAGCCGAGGTGCCTTTGGATCAAGTTTTGGCTCCGCTCAAATTGAGTTAACCGTTTGATGTTTGGCCAATAGATATATCAATACAACTATAACAATTTCAGAGCATCTTTACTTTTCTTTTCTTTTCTGGGCGGTTATTTTACCCCATAAAGCTTGAGGAATAGCTAAGCTGAAATGGGTTTTTTTTTGAAAGCGACCTCTCCCTTTGTGCAGTCAATTTCCCAAAAAGTTGAATGAATTCAAAAACTTTTTTTATTCCAAAATGTAGAGGAGATCTTCAGCTTTCGAATGATATATAACACTCATAAAAATCTGTTCGATATCTTGAGAAATTTACAAAATAGTAAAAAACGCGCATTCATAACTGGACAACCCAATACGTCGATGGTGAAACAAATGTTAGTAAAATCAGTCTCTCTACAATGTTAAACCAGTTATCTAAACAGGATTTAAAACCTGGACAACTGGACAAACCAATACAAAGTCATTTAAAAAATGAATTTCCAATTTTTCCAAAAGAGATTTACTCAAAACTCAAATTTTTGTAAATAAATAAAATTTTTTAAATGTTTCTAGATTTTAAAATAATATTAAACTCACATTGAGTACTGTAGATTAAACATTTATCCATTTGATCAATGTAAATCGAATTTTGTGGGCATTGTGCTTGAATTTCAAGAAATAGAAGAAAAATTAGGAAAATCGTTTTTTCAAACATTTTCGGACGCCAAAGAACAAAGATTTGCTATCAATTTTTGTCCGAAAATTCTATTCAATCGACTTTTCTTTCTTTCTTGCTTTCTTTCCTTCTTTCTTTCCTTCTTTCTTTCTTTTTCTAATAAAGCAGAAAAGAATTCCTTTTTTATTAGTATGATTTCTAAAGTCGAGTTTTCTAAAAGAATAATTTCAAAAGCTAACCTTTTCTTTAGCTTTTGCTTGTTTTTTCTTGAATTGAAAAACTATTTTCCTAACTTTTCTTCAATTTCTTAAAATTCAAGCAAAACGCCCACAAAATTCGACTTACATTGATCAAGAATTGAGATTGAGAATGAAAAGAATTAGAAGAATGAGAAGAATGAGAAGAACTAGAAGGATTAGAAGAGTTAGAAGAATGAGAAGAATGAGAAGAACTAGAAGAATGAGAAGAATGAGAAGAACTAGAAGGATTAGAAGAGTTAGAAGAATGAGAAGAATGAGAAGAACTAGAAGAATGAGAAGAATGAGAAGAACTAGAAGGATTAGAAGAGTTAGAAGAATGAGAAGAATGAGAAGAACTAGAAGAATGAGAAGAATGAGAAGAACTAGAAGGATTAGAAGAGTTAGAAGAATGAGAAGAATGAGAAGAATGAGAAGAATTAGAAGGATTAGAAGAGTTAGAAGAATGAGAAGAATGAGAAGAATGAGAAGAATTAGAAGAATAAAATCAATTAAACAAAAGATGAAGATTATGATAGATTTTTCAAATTTTAGATAAAGCAATTTCAGAGCTCTTTCCAATAACGATCCATCGATTTTACGAGAAATTGGGAAAAATGAGAGCAGAAATGGATCAATAGTTGATAAAGAGATTGGAAAAGAAGAGGTGAGTCTTGAGAAAACGAAACAAGACAAAACAAAGCAAAATAAGAGCCTTTTCAAAGATTAGATGCTGATATAGATTCTTATCTAGACTTTTCACAGTTTTAACCATTAGGGAAAGATTTTGAGCTTGCCTAATAAAGTAATAAATGGAAAAGAAAGATTCCTGGTGATTCGATTGAACCCTTGACCTTTTTCCTTTCCAGGCAATTTCTCTAACCATTTCTTGGAAGAAATACCAACGTCAACTACCAATTTTAGCTAAAAACGACTTCAGCAGCTTCATCAACTTCTCTTGAGTCAATCAGCAATCCATCATTGAGTCCATTAAGGGCAGGAACAAGGACGATTATCGGTGGAAAAGCCTATATAGCGGTGCCGATTGATCGCTTTGCCGTCGATTCTTTTGAGGAAACGACAACAATGACAGGTCATCAAAATATCGTATGAGTGGTACCAATGGTTGAACTTCAATCTAGCAATGATAAACCTTACTTAAGTTTAATAGCTTAGTACTTAAGTGGATCTGCTTAAATAGATCTGAGTCTAGGAAGATCTGAGTCTAGGTAGATCTGAGCTTTAGTAGATCTGAGCTTATGTAGATCTGCTTAAATAGATCTACTTAAGTAGATCTAGCCTAACAAGGCTTTATCAAGGCTTATTAATTCAATCTGACAATCAAAAACCTTACTTAAGTCTAATAGCTTAGTACTTAAGTAGACCTGCTTAAGTAGATCTGCTTCAGTAGATCTGCTTAAATAGATCTACTTTAGTAGATCTGCTTAAGTAGAGACTGAAGTCTAAGCTCTCTCCAAATTCCTCAAAACCTCGAGAAGCGCTTATCAGAACCTATCGATGTGGGGTCGGAAAATGTAGCTAACAATGAGATCTAGTGGCGGATTTGAGTGTTGAGCTTCTCGGAAAGCTTGGGAGCTGTAAAATAGTGAACAACTCGGCTCACCAAGGTGCACTACTATTAGAGATATGTTTAATAAAGTTTAACTTGACTTAACTTAAAAAGCTGAATATTTCAGGTGAGCCAACTTCAGCTTCAGTCTCATTCCCAACAATCACTTCAACGACGACCACCTCCACTTCAACAATTCCAACAGAACTTATAAAGCTCACACAAAGCAAGAAACCGAACAAGAGGTGAGAATGAAATTTCTGACTTCTTTTCCATTAATTTCTTTACTTTATTACAAATTGTCGATTTCTGAAAGCCTTCTTTCCCTCTGTTTCTTCCAAATCTTTTCTATTTCTTCTTGGCTAAAGAAGTAATTGATAGCTGAGTGGCAGAGGCTTTTCCTGTTAAGCAAAAGTTAAGGAAAAGATCAAGATTTCAATTCCCCTCCAAACCCTTTGCCATCAATTTCTTTATTACAAAGCTATTAACACGTTGACGACAATGGCGTTTTTGCACAAACAATCGCATGGGACAACGTTGTTTTTTTTCGACAAAAAATGTCACCCGACATCAGGTGACAATGTCCCAGGCGAACGAATATGTGTCAGACAGCATCAGGTGACAATGTCGTCAACGTGTTAACATTCTCGACATTCAAACATATTTAGTACTTTGGAATTCATAAATCTTATAATTTTATAATATTTTAATATAAATTTATAAAACAATTGCTAGAAAATAGAAAAAATCTCTAGAAAAAATCGAATCAACAAAAAAAGTTTTCTAGAAAATATCCATCAAATTTGGATTTCGATTTGCCTGACGAGATCTGCCATGCACATTTGAGAATCACATCGAAAAAGGAGAGATTTCTTTGATAAGAATTGTTTGTTTTGTTTTAAATAAAGATATATGAAAAGCAAGGTTGTATGAATTACGGTAGAAGTTGCAATCTTCTGATTGTTGCAGTCTTCTGATTGTTGCAGTCTTCTGATTGTTGCAATCTTCCGAAAAAGATTGCAAGTTTTATAGCTTTAGGCTTCAATTACTATAATAGAGTTAGTTACGATACTATATCGATTAGCTAAAGTTATTTTTAGGGTTATGATAGGCTACTGAGGTTACTGTAGCAGCTTCTGGGTTACTATAAAAGTACTGTAACAGTTTGCAGTTGTTTTAGGGTTATGGTAGGCTACTTAGTTTACTGTAACAGCTTCTGAGTTACTATAAGAGTACTGTCACAGTTTGCAGTTGTTTTAGGGTTACGGTAGGCTGCTTTGGTTACTGTGAAGCTTCTAGGCTTTCTCCTTTGGCCACTGTAACAGTTTAGCTCTTGTAATAGTTCGAAATTGTTGTGCGACACGTTACATTCTGTTCCTCTTTACTCTAACAGCTTCAATAGTTGAACTAGGTTACGATGGCCATTATTACGGTGGCGGTGCCGGTTCTCCGAAGGTATGAAGGAAACTTGAAAACGAAAAACTCTATTTATCATACATAGCTATATAGACACAAAAAAATGGAAGTAAAAAGAAAAAAAAAAGAAAAAGAAAGAAAAAAAAAAGAAAATCTGGGATCGAGAAATGTAAATGAGAAGAAAATCGATTGAAAAAATGAATTGAAAGAAAAAGACAAAAATTTACATACAAAATGAAATTTACATAAAGAAATCAAGAATAAGAAAAGGAATCAAGCAAAAAAATGAAAGAAAATTGAAAAAAAATCAAAAAAATCAAAAAAAATGAAAAATTTTGTATTTTTTCAAAGATTTTTATAGATTTGTATGACAAAAATCAAAAAAATCAAAAAAAAGTGAAAATTTTGAAATTTTTTGTATATCTTTTTGGGGAAAAGGCTGAAATAAGTAAATATTTGGTGAATTTGGGGGCAAATTTTATGCATTCACGGGGATGGGACAAATGCGCCCTTTTTTTTGCGCACCTGGATATTTGCGCACCTTTTTTTCTGCTGGAAAAGGCCTTAGGAAAGGTTGTAGAGCTTCAAAAATGTTGTCATATAAGGGAATCGTATGCGTAGATTCCGAATTTCGACAAATCACACCTCGCTGACACGTCAAATTTGGGCTAAAAGGCAAAAACTACGCAACTTAACGCTTTTCCTCGGTTTTTGCCTTTTAGTCCAAATTTGACGTGTCAGCGAGGTGTGATTTGTCGAAATTCGGAATCTACGCATACGATTCCCTTCTATGAATACATTTTTGAAGCTCTACGGCCTTTCCTAAGGCCTTTTCCAGCAAAAAAAAAGGTCGCAAATGTCCGGTGTGCTAAAAAAAGATCGCATTTGTCCCATCCCCGTGAATTTGCATAAAATTCGCATAAAATTCGCATAAAATAAAGCTTATTTTATTGGAAAAAAAGAGATCAAACATAAGAAATTTTCAAAAAAAATTAAAAAAAAAAAAAATTATTGCAAAACGTGGAAAATTAAAGTGAATTTTTGCGGAGAGAAAAATGTAAAAAAAAATATTTTTTTGTAAAATTTTGAACGAAAATCGACTGGATTTCTCAAGAAAATATCACAATTTCAATCGAGAATGGGATTTTTTTGAGAGAATTGCTTCTGAGAATTGATTTTTCTTTGTTATTTTAGCTTTTTGAAAGAGTTCGCCAGTGCATTTAAGGATTATTGTTAGCTTTTTGTTTCGTCGAGGCTTTCAGGCTTTCAAATGAGACAAAATAGAGGTAAATGGAACATTTTGAACCCCGCTAATCGTTCTGCTGATCTCGAAAACCATTGGGTACTAATTTTTAGCTTTAAATCTGATTTCGGAGCCATCTACAGAACAAAAGAAAAGACTGGCGAGATGTTCTTTGGGCGCGAGCACAATCGCTCCCCTTCTGGCACCCCCTGCTGATAGATACCCTTCCCTTTTCGGATTTGTTAAGAAAAAACGCCGGGAGGAACTGAGACTTTTACGGCGTCACTATGCCCAAATTTTTCGGATCAATTGGATTCGAGCAACTCAATTCGATCAGCTCAATTCGATCAGCTCAATTCGATCAGCTCAATTCGATCAGCTCAATTCGATCAGCTCAATTCGATCTGCTCGATTCGATCAGCTCGATTCGATCAGCTCAATTCGATCAGCTCAATTCGATCAGCTCAATTCGATCTGCTCGATTCGATCAATTCAATTCGATCAAGTCAATTCGATCAACTGAATCCGATCAACTCAATTCGATCAACTCAATTCGATCAGCTCAATTCGATCAACTCAATTCGATGAAATCAATTCGATCAACTCAATTCGATGAAATCAATTCGATCAACTCAATTCGATGAAATCAATTCGATCAACTCAATTCGATGAAATCAATTCGATCAACTCAATTCGATCAGTTCAATTCGATCAGCTCGATTCAATCAGCTCCATTCGATCAACTCGATTCGATCAACTCGATTCGATCAGCTCAATTCGATCAGCTCGATTCGATCAGCTCGATTCGATCAGCTCGATTCGATCAGCTCGATTCGATCAGCTCGATTCGATCAGCTCGATTCGATCAGCTCGATTCGATCAGCTCGATTCGATCAGCTCAATTCGATCAACTCAATTCGATCAGCTCAATTCGATCAGCTCAATTCGATCAAGTCAATTCCAATCAAGCTCTATTTGATATCATTGAAAGCCCTGCTGCCCTGCTGTCCTATCAAGCCATATAAACAATGATGATTTCTAGATGAAATCATGAACCTTAGCTTGGCTACTCATTCAAAAAACTAGATTACGGTCAAAAAGCTAGACTTATACGTAAAAAAATGGAGAAAGGAAAGGAAAAAGCTGGGAAAAACTTCCGAAAAATGCTTTGGTTTTCAAGAAAATACCGCTGAAGTTGGATTTGGGATATGCAGGTGATTGACAGGTTGAATGGGAAAGCTAATTGGTTGTCAAGAAAGCGTGAAGTGAATGCAATGCTTGTTGCTGTGTTTGGTGGGTGATCGGCGAGGAATCTCCATCTCGACTCTCGGCTCGATGGTGTTCTTTGCCCGATAAAGCGTTGTCCGCCGCCTCTTTCTTTCTCCATTTCGTTCGGCGATTTTGGAACCAAACCTGCAATTGTTGTTTCTGGATTCAGTTAAAGGAAAAACTGGGTTAACTTTGTCCCAGACTGTAAAAAGTGCTTGAGCTTATCTCAACGCTTGAGGCTAGAGTCTAAAGCATGTTGCAGCTACTGCAGTAAGGCCTAAAGCTTGTCCCAGCTACCGTAACCTCTTTTAAACCATGTCCCAGTTACTGTAGCTCGTTTTAAACCATGCCCCAGCTACCGTAACCCGGCCTAAAGCCTGTCCCAGCTACTGTAACCCGGCCTAAAGCCTGTCCCAGCTACTGTAGTCAGGCCTAAAGCTTGTCCCAGTTACCGTAGCCCGGCCTAAAGCCTCTCCCAGCTACCGTAACCTGTTTTAAACCATGTCCCAATTACTGTAGCTCGTTTTAAACCATGTCCCAGCTACCGTAGCTCGCTTTAAACCATGCCCCAGCTACCGTAAACAGGCCAAAAGCTTCCCCTAGACACTGTAGCCAGTTACATTTCAATTTTTAAACACAAAGCACTTTGAGCTTTGCATTGGGCTCATTCTAGAGCTTTTTTCCCTTCAAGATAGCCCATAAAAGACATAAAATTTGCATTTATCTCAATCTCATAAAAATGGGGGAAAAGCTGTGTTCAGCTTTCAGCACTCCAAAAAGTCCCCAGAGAGCTCTGATTCTACGGTAGATGATGGGGGGAATAAATAAAAAGCAATAAGGAAAAAGATCGACAAAAAGAAGTGCAGTCAAATCGCATTAAATGCAAATTTCTTGAAAGCCGTTTGGGACTCATAGAAAGCTGCTTAATTTTTGGCTATAAGTTCTAAAGATTCGGAAAAGGCATAAGAATCTTTTGATTTTGCATAAGAATCAATTGGCATTTAATTAGATTCGATTTAGATTCGATTTAGATCCTATTTAGATAAGTTTACGGTTTATTTGAGTAAAAAACAAAAAAGCCATTTTTTTCTGCGTTAATGTGGCGCCAAGTAGGCGAGAATTCAATAGAAAAAGTAAAAAAAGACATAAAACTCTGGAGAAATTATAGGAAAATCGTTTATTACCCAACCGGAACTCATAAAAATTCGTTTTTCCCCATTTCAAGGACCCCGGAAGTGTGCTTTGCTTGCTTTTTTTGAGTCTAACCTTATAATTTCTAAGCTTTAGATATAGAAATTTAGATATTTCAATAAATAAATCAAAAAAACCTTACCTTTACTTGACTCTCGCTCATATTCAACTCTTGCGCGAGTTGCGCTCGATCCGTCCCAGCCAAATACTTTGTTTGCTCGAATTTCTTCTCAAGCATAAAGATCTAAATATTTAGAGATAAGCTAAAGATAAGATATTGAGCTGAAGATAAGCTAATGAGGTGGAGATAAGCTAATGAGGTGGAGATGAGCTAATGAGATGAAGATAAACTAATGAGCTGAAGATAAGCTAATGAGTTGAAGATAAGCTAATGAGTTGAAGATAAGCTAATGAACTGAAGGTAAGCTAATGAGCTGAGGATAAGCTAATGAGCTGAAGATAAGCTAATGAGCTAAAGATAAGCTGAAGATTTTACAGTACTTGATGTCCTGTGAAAGTCGGTCGACTCTGCTTTTTGTTTATATTTAAACTGTTCGGGCTGAGTTGCAGTGGATGTTGAAGACGCGCGGCGAGTGCTGCAGCCTGAAATTTGCTTTTTTCACTCGAGTTTTCGTCGTCTTTCGTTCGTCGTCGTTACCGTAGCTTTAAGCTCAGGGTTTACTGTAAACTAGTTATCTTTTCAACCCACTTGTTGCGATCCGTTGAGCTGAGAGAGAAGAGCGAACGGGTTCAATGCTGCCGCTGTGCGAGCCGCTGAAATTTGAGTTCCAGTTAAACTGTATCAATGTTTTTCACTGATTAAGGATAAAAACGAATCGCATCAATTGATTCCCCGACTCTGAAAACCCCTGGGTACAAGTTTTCAGCTTTAAATCATAACTAGAAGCCAGCCATGAGAGCCATTGAGAGCAAGAGATCTGTGTTCTTTGTGCAAGCACACAATCGCTCTCCATCTGGCAAAGAGGCCCAGCATAACTTGCCTCTCTTTTCGAATTGTTATTTTATTTGTCTCTCAATTTTCTCACGATTCCTTAGTCTCATTAACCTCAAAAGCCGAGGGGCAAGATTTTCATCTTTAAAAGATTCTTTTAACTGCTTGTTTCAATCCCGTTCCCGTTCCCAGTCAATTGAAAATATACGTTAACTCTATACTATTTGATCTACAAGCCCTTATAGCCTCCAAAATATAAGTTCCATCTCTGTTTCCCCTACCCTCAACAAACGTCACAGTCTAATCTTCCACCCACTCCATATTGAAGTGATTTCCGGCAGAGCTGCCTAAGTTCAGGGATTTTAAATTCCCCCCTTTTCACAAATATGTGATGATCTTTATCTTTTTTTTTGCGACTTTTCGGATTTTCGGAGGTTTTCTCTATCAATTTTTGACTATTTTTGGTGGGGTTTAGATACATTGATGACGCTCATTTTAGCCGGATTTTACACTGATTTCTAAAGAACAACAATTCTAAAGAAGTGGTACATTGTGCCGAGAAAGGGACAACCTTGGAGTTGACCTCAAAGGGTTGAGTTGGGCAAGTGAAAAATTGTAACTGTTGGCTAGGCTAAGTCAGGAAACAGATGAATTTCGAGTTTCAAACTAAAGCTAAAGCTAAAGCTGAAGCTAAAGCTAAAGCTAAAGCCAAAGCTGAAGCTAAAGCCAAAGCTAAAGCTGAAGTCAAAGCTGAAGTCAAAGCTAAAGCCAAAGCTGAAGCTAAAGCCAAAGCCAAAGCTAAAGCTCAAGCTCAAGCTCAAGCTCAAGCTAAAGCTGAAGCCTAAGCCAAAGCTGAAGCCAATGGCTTGAAGCCAATGGCAGACCAGACCAGGACACAGCCCAATCAAAGCTAAAGCTAAAGCCAAAGCCAAAGCTAAAGACTTCGTCCTTTGAAAGTAGATCAGTCAAGTCCAGGTCAGATCAGGCCAGGACACAGCCCGATCAAAGCCAAGCAAGACAAGATCCAAGCCAGAATCGGCTCTCGAGAATAAGCCTTCAAGTCTATCAATTATTAGATAAATATATCTAAATACTGTAGAATTCCGGTAAAACTTGGCCTGGTTCCGGTAAATTCAATCAACCCTAGACCAGTTCTGCTTTGAGTCAACCAGAAAAAGTAAGCCCAAAAAGTCCAGCCTGATTCTAGTTTTTGACCGAACACTTTATCCCCAAATAACCGATGCTATTGGCTATGAAATTTGATGCGAAAATCTTTTCAAGTACTCTTTTCAATCTCCATTCATCGCTGTTTCCCCATTTTCTCCATTTTCTTCATTTTCGCGATTTTTCAATGACGCGAATTCCCCTTTTCATCTAGATTTCTTCAGCTTACATGAATGGACATTTGATGAGCGATCTTTCTTCAGCTATGAAGCTGCTATTCTTTCCTAGAGAAAGGATTAGACTCTCGATTTTATTTGATTTTCATTGGGTTCTTTATTCGGAGGATTCTCGGGGGGTTTTTTTTTCTTGGATCTAAGGGAAAAAGGTAAAAAGGTGAGAAAACTAGGGTAAAAAGATGAGTCTTTTATCGTAGTTAGGTATTTGATTGAATTTTCTATGTCAATGTCAACATTAAAGTGCATTTTATAGAGTTGAACTGAGAGAAAAGGTAAAGAAGAGCTGAAAAGTTGAAGAAAAGCTATTGAAGTGTTCCTATAGAGAATCTCAAAAGATTTTAACAGCTCGCCCCACTACCGTACCCTGGATGTAACTCTAAACAATGACTGTAATCCCTTCAGACTTTAAAAGAAGCAAACTACAGTACCCTTTAGGTGTCTTACGATAAGCCCAAATTCCGAACTACAGTACCCTTTAGGTGTCTTACTATAAGCCCAAATTCCAGTAGCCCTTCAACGCCGTTTGATGGCCTCAGTACCCATCAATACACTCCGTTTCTTTGGATTCTAAGATGCCAAACTACAGTACTCTTTGTTGTACTACAGAAACTAGAGTACTACAGTTACCCTCTAAACTTTGTCCCTCTAAATCATCCCTCTAAAACATGCCTTATCTACAGTAGTTTTTGGAAACTAAAGTACTTTGGAAACTAGAGTACTTTGGAAACTAAGTAGTAGTTTGGAAACTAGAGTACTTTGGAAACTAGAGTACTTTGGAAACTAAGTAGTAGTTTGGAAACTAGAGTACTTTGGAAACTAGAGTACTTTGGAAACTAAGTAGTAGTTTGGAAACTAGAGTACTTTGGAAACTAGAGTACTTTGGAAACTAAGTAGTAGTTTGGAAACTAGAGTACTTTGGAAACTAGAGTACTTTGGAAACTAAAGTAAAGTAGTTTGGTCACCATTCGAAACCCAGTTCAATAGATAAATCAATCGATTTTTCGCTGATTCTCTTAAAAAGATAAAGCCTAAGCCTGAGCCTAAGCTTAAGCCTAAGCCTGAGCCTAAGCCTGAGCCTGCGCCTGCGCCTGCGCCTGCGCCTGCGCCTGCGCCTGCGCCTGCGCCTGCGCCTGCGCCTGCGCCTGCGCCTGCGCCTGCGCCTGCGCCTGCGCCTGCGCCTGCGCCTAAGCCTGCGCCTGCGCCTAAGCCTGAGCCTATGCCAAACTACAGTACTCTTTGTTGGCATTACCCTCTAAACTTTGTCCCTCTAAATCATCCCTCTAAAAGGTGCCTTATCTACAGTAGTTTTTGGAGACTAAAGTACTTTGGAAACTAAAGTAAAGTAGTTTGGTCACCATTCGAAACCCAGTTCAATAGATAAATCAAATCGAATTTTTGTTAGATCCCTATAGAAAATGTTGCAAGTTGTTCAATTTGAGTCAAAGTTCACAGCTTTTCTCGAAACTTTACGACCTTTTCGATGACATCTTTTGAATGGAAATCGCTGAAAGATCCTGTGTTCGACCAAAAGAAAAGAATGGAAAAAGGCAAAAATTCTTTTCAGATCCAGAAATATTTGCTCGTTTCGATTTACCGGCATTCAATTCCTCTCATTCAAATGTTTCCCCCCTTTTAAGCTTATCATTGACATGGGTAAATAGGGGAATAGTCATCGAGAATCGGAGATCGAGAAACTTTGTTGAATTGGGAGCTGTATTTTTTGGTGTCTCGGCTATTGTTTAAATTAAAAGTCTTCAAGAGTTGCTTGAAAAAATGAAGAAATTAGAGAACCAAAGAGTCAGGGTTAAGGCCAGGGTTAAGGCCAAGGCTAGGGCTAGGGCTAAGGCCAGGGCCAAGGCTAGAGCTAAGGCTAGAGCTAGGACTAGGGCTAGAGCTAGGGCTAAGGCCAGGTTAGATCCAGGGCTAGGGCAAGGGCTAAGGCTAGGGCCAAGGCTAGAGCTAGGACTAGGGCTAGAGCTATGGCTAAGGCCAGGTTAGGTCCAGGGCTAGGGCCAGATAGGTCAAGGCTAGGGTTAAGCCCAGGCAAACCAGGACCAGGGTCAGGGCTAGGATCCAGAATAAATCAGAAGTAAAGCTAAGCTCTGATGCCAGGCTCTACCAGGCAGCCAGATCATGGTCAAGAGCAGTCAGCTCTATGATCAGATCAAGATCAGATCAAGATTAGTGTCAGGACTAGATCAATGCCAGTGCCAAGATTAGGCTCATTAGAGTTCAAGACCGTCAGGGCAAAGTCGGCAGTCTTGGCTTGGCTCTTGGCCTGAATCTTGACCAGATTCTAGCTAATTTTCTATCGAATCCCTTGTCCTCAAGAGACTTGGCAACAAAATGTTTCCTAGAAAAGTGTCTTCAATTGAATGGAGCCTGTTTCTCACACAAGGTCTGCATTTACAGCCATTCTCGAATCAATAGAGAATTGAGAGAAGAGGGAAAAGAGGCAAGGTCAAGAAAGAGGGATTGATCAAGAAAAAGGGAAAGGACATTGGGTATCTCTTTTGATATTCAGACTATTGTATTCGTTGAAGATGGGCAAATAAAACGGTCGAGGGGATGAGGGAAAGGGAAATCGATTGACTTTACTTAATTGAATATTCGAAAGTTGTTTAATTCGAGTACGGTACGCCAGAATACATTGCTCACATTGAGCTCACAAACAGGCTACCGTAATAGGCTCAGGCTTAGTCTTAGTCCGTACTCAGATGAGCTTAGTCTGAGCGGATCAGACTGATCAGACTACCGTATTCTTAGCTATCGTAGTCTGAGCTGATCAGACTACCGTACCTTGCTATAGACAGTCTACCGTATTCAGCTTTGGACTAGACTACTGTATCTGGCGTCGATCAGTTCTACGGTGTCACTTGAGTTACAAACCTTGTTCCTGTTGCGCTGAGAGCATTCTCAAGGGTGATGTGGCTGGAGTGCCCAATTGTTGACCCAACAGGAGCGAGAGATAAGCTTGCTGAAGAGATAAATTCATTAATTCTTTATCGATTTATGTACAAACCTGTAGATGCTGTGCTTGAGCCACGTCGAGTCCATTACCCACCAGCGAGAGCGGATTCGACATGTCGGCCATCTGAAAAATCGCTCTAATAGATTTTTGATATAATAGCCTTAAAATCTGATATGTACTTGATAGTTCTATAAGTTTTTTTGCATAACTTACCATAGTCGATGCGAGTAGGGAAGGATTTGGAAAATGGAAATGCGGAAAAACTGAGGCGCCCATCGACTCGGCGGCACTCGATGCCGACGGGGAACTGAAAATCGGCATTTGATTTCGATTTTGAGTACGGTTATGAAAAGGATCAAATGATAGGTTTATTAGGAACAAGGAATACTGTAGGAACAAGCTACCGTACCCTATCCTGGACCAGTCTACTGTAGGAACAGGCTACCGTACCTTGATCTAGGCCAATCTACTGTAGGAACAGGCTACCGTACCTTATCCTGGACGACTCTACTGTAGGAACAAGCTACCGTACCTTATCCTGGACCAGTCTACTGTAGAAACAAGCTACCGTATCCTCAGGCTGCCACCGCGACTTGGCTCTGTCTACTGTATCCTATCGGACCCTAAACTTGAAGCAGACTACCGTACTATAGCCTAGCCCTGGGTAATGTATCCTGGCTGTACTCTGACATGGTACAGTACCTGAACTAGGTCAAACTACCGTACTCTGATATCTACTGTACTCTGAAGCTACTGTACCCCAGCTTGAATCGAGCTACCGTATACCCTGGCCTAGAGTAAGCTACCTTAACCTGTCTGCGCCAAGTTACCGTACCTTCTATACCCTTACCGTATCTCTTGATTCAACTACAGTATCCATAAAAAAAACTCTTCGAAAAACAGAAATTCGTACTTTTTGATGGATATAAATTGAAAGAAACAAAAAAAAGATGAAAATCTCGGAGATTTAAAGCATTTAAAGCATGAAAATCTCCGAGAATTTCTCGAATCCCTGATTATCCCCGATAAATAGAGAATATCAAGATATACAGCTGAAAAGCAAAAAAAAAAGAAAAGAAAAAAGCAAAAAGAGCCTAATTTTCTCGCCATTCTCCCCTCAGGCATCATCACAATTTTGACGCAATTTTGGATTAAGATTCGAGACAAATAACGGGCAAAACTTTGTCCTATTGTATCTGGAATATCTGAAATATCTGGAAAATATTACTCAAGTTACTAGCGGAAGAAATCGAAAATCTAAACTTTAAACATAGCCCTCGTAGGCTTGTAGGCTTGTAGGCTTGTTGGTTTGTAGTTTAATGACTTGAGTACCTGGTTCTTGATTCTAATCTTTTTATGCATCAATTTACTGGAGTTTACTGGACCTTACTGGACTCTACTGGACTCCACTAGACTCTACTGGACTCTACTGGACTCCACTAGACTCTACTGGACTCTACTGGACCTTACTGGACTCTACTGGACCTTACTGAACTCTACTGGACTCTACTGGACCTTACTGGACTTTACTGGACTCTACTGGACTCTACTGGACCTTACTGGACCTTACTGGACTCTACTGGACTTTACTGGACTTTGCTTAGCTTTTACAAGGAAAACTTTGAGTCAATCAAACGGGAATTTTGACGTAATTTGAGATTAGAATGAAGTAAATGAGAAAGTGCATTAGAATCCCTTTCAAACATTACATTTCATGGTTGTTTATCTAGAGAAGAAAGAGAAGAAATGAGTCTAATCTCTGTCCGGATATTATTCCCTCAACAGGCTATTTTCGATCGCCTTTCGGCACTGAAAATAGCTCAAATGGGGGGTAATATTGTGACGGATTTGTAGTTGGGGAATTGAAGCCGAATTACACGATTGATGATTGGATTCGAAGGAGAAAAATAGATGGATTGGGAAGGGGAAAACTTGTGACTCTTGCGTGGTGGTTGAAGTTAAAACTTGTGCTCTGTTGGCTTGTAGACTTTGCAGAACTAAAGTAAGCTCTTTCTATGACAGTATTTAGTAAAAAATACTTTTGTAACTACTTTAAAAAGGATTTTGATCAGGCTAAGCCGCCTTTGTTCAGCTTTCTCTAGTCCGCTAGAAATCTAGGTTTTATCTAGGTTTTTACTGGGTTTTATCTAGGTTTTATCTAGGTTTTCACCTCTTTTCCAAGGAAAATAAAGATTTCAATGCGCCAGAGGGGTTGTGTTTGCAAAGATTCAAAAGTACAGTGAAGATTGGAAAGATTTTTATGATAGAAACTATTTTCTCTAATAGTAGTGCACCGAGCCGAGTTGATCACTATTTTACAGCTCCCAAGCTTTCACAGAAGCTCACCCACTCAAATCCCCCACTAGCTCTAATCGTCAGCTACATTTTCCGACCCAACATCGATAGGTTCTGATTAGCGGCTTTCGAGATTTCAATAAATTTAAGCGAAGCGGGAATTAGGGAAAGTAATGAACCGAAAGTTGTGTTTTGACTAAACAAAACCCAAGTTTTGTTGATTGATCGAGCTGCTCTAAGAGTTTGCTACTGAAGCCCCGCCCTTTTTTAAAAATAGACTCAAAAGTCCGATTCTCCATAGCCGAAAACCCCTGGGAGCGCGCGCAAAGCTGAATACTGTATTCTCTCTAATAGTAGCGCACCCCGATGAGCCGAGTTGATGACTATTTCACAGCTCCCAAGCTTTCACAGAAGCTCAACAGTCTAATGCCCCACTAGATCTCATCGTCAACTACATTTTCCGACCCAACATCGATAAGTTCTGATAAGCGGTTCTCGAGACTTCGAGGAATTTAGGTCAAGGGTACTAGAGAAAATACGGTAAAGAGGTGAGTTTAGAATTTTGGTGTCAGCTAGCTATCGTCAACTACATTTATAGGATAGCTAAGGTTCTGATCAGCGGTTCTCGAGATTTCGAGGAATTTAGAGAGAGCTTAGGGTGCACTACTACTAAAGAAAATACTCGTTGTCGTTGATCGTTGAACGACCAGAACGATAGGCGCTTTGGGCTGACTTTGCGATCTTTTCTATAACTATAAAAATCAAAATTCTCAAATAAAATGCAATCCCCAATCCTCACGTTATCAGAAAAGAAATGAATAAAAAATAAAAATGAAAATAAATAAACAATTAACTGTATAGTTGTCAGAAAATAATTTCTGCTTCTCTTGGGAAATCTTTTTGGTCGAAATTTCTCAATTACCCCTTTTTCTTTTTATTTGGCGAATTGCCATGGATTCTAAAAAGGGAAAGAGATTTCAAGAGAATCTGTTTAAGTAATAATTTGGTTTTTCATTTCATTTTTCCTTTTTTCACTTTTCTGTGGTGAAAAATGAATAAATCTTAACTCACTACATATTTTGGAAATCGGAAAAACGTATAAACATCGTGATTTTTGAAGATTAACACGAATAAATTCGTAGTCAAGATCTTTTAGGTGATTGTTTGAGAATCAGAAATCGATTTAGGAAAAAAGTAAAAATGGAAGAAGTGGTCGGGGGATTGAACCCGGATCGTGTGGGCGGCGGGCGGGTCAGCTAGCCACTCGGCCAAAGCGGTAACCTTTTCGGCTTCTTTTAAAGGCTATTAAGGATCTGTGGAGTCGTGAAATGGGTGGAAACTCGGGAAAACTACATAATGAGCATAAAATGTCTAGCATAAATAGAGGTAAATCACATGCTAAGGTTGAGGCCAGGGTACGGTAGCTGGCCCAAGTCGGGGTCAGGTTACGGTAGTCGGTACAGTATCTGGCTCAAGAAAGGGTTTAGCTACGGTAGTTGACCAGGTCCAGGGTACGGTATCTGGCCCAAGTCAGGGTCAGGTAATTGGCGGGGTCCACAGTACGGTAGCTGGCCCAAGTCAGGGACAGGCTACGATAGCTGGCCGGGTCCAGTGTACGGTAGCTGGCCCAAGCCAGGGACAGGCTGGCCCCTAGTTGGCCCTGCGCAGGATACGGCAGTTGGCTCAAGTCAGGCTGCAGCAGCTCGACTAGACTAGACTGGCTCAAATCAGGCAGCCGTACGGCCATCTGGCTCATATTAGGGTATTCACCGGCACTGTACCTGTCTCAAGTTAAGATATTCAAGGAAGTGACATCCAAAGTATTATAGAAATCTCTAGCAAAGCCACAGCAAAGCAAAGCCATAGACCCATCAAGTTTTCATCTAAAACTACCGTATCCTAAAGCCACCGTAACCCAAATACGAGCCAGATACCGTAATGTGGCTCGACTGTACTACTGTAGTTTGAGTGAATCTAAAGCCACCGTCCCTCTACCCCTTACCAAGGCTCTAGTCTCATTAATTCGCCTTTGATCTCATAAAGGCAATTTTTCTTAAAAACTCTTTTGCTAATCCGATCGAAAACCCTCGTGAATCCCCATTGGATGACCTTTTTGATAATGGAAAAAAACGTAATCCAATGATTCTCTTTTCCCCAAAATATCTCTAAATCATTGAATACATGTGTTTATTATTTTTTTTTTTGATTTCGTCAATGGAAATTTAACTCGAGTTTCTTCGAAAGATGCCTTTAATACCCAAAAATCGAATATTAATATTGATATTGTTTTTAAGATTAAGCTAGGCTAGCTAAGCTAAGCTAGCTGTGCTATGCTAGCTAAGCTAAGCTAGCTGTGCTATGCTAGCTAAGCTAAGCTAGCTGTGCTATGCTAGCTAAGCTAAGCCAAGCTGGCTGTGCTAGGCTAGCTAAGCTAAGGTAGCTGTGCTAGGCTAGCTAAGCTAAGGTAGCTGTGCTAGGCTAGCTAAGCTAAGGTAGCTGTGCTAGGCTAGCTAAGCTAAGGTAGCTGTGCTAGGCTAGCTAAGCTAAGCTAGCTGTGCTAGGCTAGCTAAGCTAAGCTAGCTGTGCTAGGCTAGCTAAGCTAAGCTAGCTGTACTAGTTAGAAGTCTGGATTGAGCCTAATTTTTCGTCTGATTTCTAGGAAAACTATTCGGCTTCTGAGATGAGACGATCGTCTTTAAAAACAGAAATCATTGGCTGGTTTTAAATGAAATGACGAAAAGAAACGAAGAGAAATGAAAAGAAACGAGACTTTCAGTCTACTGTCAAATTCAGATTCAAATCAAGATCAAGATAAAGAGATATGTGAAAAATAGTCGAGTAGATCAGCTTTGATCCTTTGCTTTGATGCAAGACTTACACTCGCTCATCATCAGCACTTTGACATCGAGTTTCTGAAGTTGGACGATCCTCTTCAGAAACAGTGGAACTGCTAAAAGCAATTATTCAACAGCAGTTTTCAAATTATATATTAAATTGATGCTTTGCTTGGCTTGGCTTTGCTTGGCTTGGCTTGGCTTTGCTTTGCTTGGCTTGGCTTTGCTTGGCTTGGCTTGGCTTGGCTTGACTTGACTACCTGGCTCTACTGTGTGAAACCGGAAGCAATTCTTTCGTCGATCCATCTAACAGATTCGATATACTGTAAGCAGATGCGGATTTGAGACTGTTTCGTCGTGAGTCAGCTTCTTTTATCTGAAACTTGTTAAATAAAAGTTGAATCTCGTTAGTGAGCTATGAAAGGGATTCTAGAAAATCGTTTACTATCAAGGTTTGATTCGTTTACTATCAAGGATCGTTTTAAATCAACTCAAAATGATAGTTGATTATCAAGATGTTCACTAAAGATCAACTAAAGATAAACTAAAGATAAACTAACTTACAGATTAACTTAGATTCGACTTACAGACTCATTAATTACTCTAAATCACTAAGCCCTATACCTTGATCTGCTAAGAGAAAGAAGAAAAGATAAAGGAAAATAAAGTAAAGGAAGTAAAGTAAAGGAAGTAAAGTAAAGGAAGTAAAGTAAAGTAAAGGAAGTAAAGTAAAGGAAGTAAAGTAAAGAAAGTAATGCTCACATGATCTGGGCTTGGCGTTAATCCAATTGTGGGTAGTGTGAGCTGGGATTTCACTGGCAATGGTGAGAGCCGATCTCGCGTCGACGAATCCAACGTCGACGACATTCTGGAAAAGAAAGAAAGTTCAAAAAACAGATTAAAACATTAAAAAGTTAAAAGTTATAGATATAAATGATTCAATTCAACTAAAAATTCAGAAAAAAGTTAGAAATTGAGTTAAAACTCGAAAAAAAACAAGGCTTGCCTATTCGTTTGGTTCATCATCAGCACGAGCATAGCTCTGAGGTCAAAAGAATGATCAATATAATAGAAATGAAATAGAAATGTAATAGAAATGTAATAGAAATGAGATGGAATTTGAAATGGATTTGAAATAGATTTGAAATGTATCTAAAAGTCACTTAAAGTTACGGTAATCTTTAAGTTTTTAGAGAATAATTGATGGGGGAAAATTTTGATGAGATTGACACTCATTCTTTCTCAGCCAATGCCTCGGCCACGCCCACTAGAAAATAAGAAATCCCTTTTAAAAAAGAAAAGATATTTCGTCAATTCAATCTTTTGTTCTTTATCTTCATCTTTTTTTTGTTATCAGATTTGCGTCACGTTTTATTTCTGGATGAGATTAAGAAAGGGAAATTTAAAGATAATTTAAAGATAATTTAAAGATAATTTAAAGGAGAATTTAAAGGAGAATTTAAAGGGAAATTTAAAGGGAAATTTAAAGATAATTTAAAGGATAATTTAAAGATAATTTAAAGATAATTTAAAGAGAATTTAAAGGAGAATTTAAAGGAGAATTTAAAGGGAAATTTAAAGGGAAATTTAAAGATAATTTAAAGGATAATTTAAAGATAATTTAAAGATAATTTAAAGAGAATTTAAAGGAGAATTTAAAGGAGAATTTAAAGGAGAATTTAAAGGATAATTTAAAGGATAGTTTAAAGGGAAATTTAAAGGAGAATTTAAAGGATAATTTAAAGGGAAATTTAAAGGATAATTTAAAGATAATTTAAAGAAAAATCTCTTTAATTTACAAATAAATCAATGAAAATAATGAAGATAATGAAGAAAAAAATGGATAAAGAATGAAGAATAAAGCTGGAATAGTTCTCGATGAGGGTACAGTCGCGTAGTCGCTCACTTTTTTAGTGATTACTTTGTGTATATTCAAAGATAAATGAACCTAATATAGTCATTCGATAGCGGTGAATCTCCTCTAGAAAACTGGTATAAAGTTACTGAGCTTTCTGCGTATTTAGGAGTAAAAGTTTAAGCAAAAGTAAAGTCTAAGAGTCCTAAAAGCTTGAGACAAAAATAATCGTGATTAGAAAGATCTGTTGATGAGTTGTATCGTTATTAGTATCTATTGATGAGTCATATCGTTATTAGAAAATCTATGGATAAGTTGTATCATCATTAGTATCTATTGATTAGTTATATCGTCATTAAAAAGATCTATTGATAAGTTGTATCGTCATTAGTATCTATTGATTAGTTATATCGTCATTAGTAAGATCTATTGATAAGTTAATATCCTCATAAATCTGTTAACAAGTATGATGACCGATTACCGTATACGGGGTAACTGTAACCGCTACGCTACGGTAACCGCTACGCTACGGTAACCGCTACGCTACGGTAACCGCTACGCTACGGTAACCGCTACGCTACGGTAACCGCTACGCTACGGTAACCGCTACGCTACACTGAACAGTAGTTTATTGAACTCTAAAGTAGTGTTTACAGTAGTTACAGTAGTGTTTATTGAACTCTAAAGAGCTAAGAGTAAAGAAATTTGGAAACTCTTCAACTTAATAGTCACTTTTGATATTAGGTGGGGTTACGATATCGAGTTTAATACTCGAAACTGTTGATTGTTTTCAAAATCGTCGAATCCATTCATTCAGCTCTTCCCCCCCAAACATCGATAATGATATTTTCAATAAGTGAAAGTGATGGAGCAAAATTTGCATGAAACAATTCCATTTAGAGTTCTCTTTCCCTAGAGTCACTTCAAGAAAATGGGCAAGTAAAAGGAATTTGCTTGAAGAGAAGAGAAAGAAAAAGAAAAGAATCCTTTTAATTCGGCAGCTGTCGATTAGACACAAAAATGGACAAAAATGGGAATTGATGAATAGTTATTGCAGCTATTCAAAAAGGGAATTTATGACTTGAACGGTTTGATGAAAGCTATCGTACTCTAGAACACAATAGAGCTAACGAGTTCCTGTATACTTGAGAGAGATACTGTAGATACAGAGTACTGTAGGTACAGGGTACTGTAGGTACAGGGTATTGTGGATACAGGGTACTGTAGGTACAGCGTACTGTAGGTACAGGGTACTGTAGGTACAGGGTACTGTAGGTACAGGGTACTGTAGGTACAGGGTACTGTAGGTACAGGGTACTGTAGGTACAGGGTACTGTAGGTACAGGGTACTGTAGGTACAAGATACTGTAGCTACCGTAGTTCTCGTAGTACTGCAAACCGTAATTCTACAGTTCTTGTGCTTTATAGTTACAGTAATCATAGAAAATCATAGAAAACTTCCCAGGGTACTGTAGCTTTAAGTAACTTGTTGATTGAGCTGTAGAAAGTTTGGTAAAGCTGTCGTAAACCTGTCTCACTACAATAACGTAATGCCATACATTATAAAAGTACTGTACAAAAGTACAGTATACCCTGGATACTGTAGAATTCAGCTAGAGTTAAAAGCTACCGTAATACTTGTGATGTCGAACACTATATCATTCTATAGCTCTGAGTAGTGTAGCATTCAGCTGTCGTATTCTATAGCAGCTACAGTACCCAGGGCTACACTACAGTATTCAGCTACAGTATCCGTACCTAAGCTTGAGCTAGAAGTGTCTAGGGCTACCCTATAGTATTCAGCTACAGTACCGGTACCTGAGCTTGAGCTACAGTACCTAGGGCTACACTACAGTATTCAGTTACAGTACCGGTACCTGAGCTTGAGCTAGAAGTACCTAGGGCTACCCTATAGTGCTCAGCTACAGTACCCGTACCTGAGCTTGATCTAAAAGTACCCAGGAGTAGATTATAAAGCAACTTCAGTAAAGTAACAGTAACATCAGTAAAGATACAAGGTCATAATGCTTAGATCTGTACTACAGGCATAAGTAGTGCAACTACAGTACCCTGATCCATAAGTACAGAACAGTACCAGAGTACAGGACAGAGCCACTACAGTATTCAGCTACAGTACCCCAGTACAGGATAGAGCCAAGACTTTGCAAACTCTAAAAATCTCATAGAAATCTCATAAAAAATCACAAAAACTTGAACAAATTTTCAATTATGCATGGAGAAATGAAAAGAGTAATCGGGAAAATAAAATAAAACGTAAAAAGGTTTCCATTTTCCATTTAGTCCTGTGCTTTCCACATTTTAATATATCGGAAACGATTTATTCCGGTTTATTGCTGTAGATCGAGAGAGTCAATCAACGAGAAAAAGGCCAATAATGACTTTCACTATGTGACTATTGAGGTTGAGTTGAGGTTGCGTTTGAGGCTGAGGGATTGAGAGTGGCCATAAAAGTCACTGAACTCGGGATTACCTAGTGGAAAGAGTTTGTTTAACTCTCTCATGATTTGAGGCAATCAAAATCATTTCGAAAGAGCACTTTTGAGATGAATTGAATGAGAGTTGAATGAGAATTGAATGAGAATTGAATGAGAATTGAATTCTTGAATTAGATCATAATGAAAGACTAGTTAGAGTTGGATAAGTTGAAAGTTAAGTCTTCAGGCTTTAGCAGTTAGCTTTAGCATTAGAGTTTTCATTTAACAATTCAATTTTTGATTAATTTTGATTAATTTTGATTAATTTTGATTAATTTTCATTAAATTTCATTAAATTTCATTAAATTTCATTAATTTTCATTAATTTTCATCCATTTTCATTCATTTTCATTCAATTCAAAACTATTAAAGTCATGTTGAGCAACGATTTAAAACGATTTAAATGTTGAGCATTTGAGTAGCAGTTGAGCAGTCGAGTTGAGAATTAGTTGAGCATTTGAATTGACTTTGTTTCCTTGCGTTAAGCAAATCTCTACTAATACAAAGATTTCCTAGTTTTCCAAAAGAAAACTGAAGACATTAGTGCACTAGATGTTGAGTGTTTTTAGAAGAAAACTATAGAAGAAGTTTATCAAAGAGAAAAAGGAAAAGGAAAGGAAAGCTAAGCAAAAAAAGAAAAAGAAAAGCAAAGCAAAGAAAAGCAAAGCAAAGAAAAGCAAAGAAAAGCTAAGCAAAGCAAAGAAAAGCAAAGCAAAGCAAAGAAAAGCAAAGCAAAGAAAAGCAAAGCAAAGAAAAGCAAAGCAAAGAAAAGCAAAGCAAAGAAAAGCAAAGCAAAGAAAAGCAAAGCAAAGCAAAGCAAAGCTAAGCAAAGCAAAGCAAAGAAAAGCAAAGCAAAGCAAAGCTAAGCAAAGCAAAGCAAAAAAGAAAAGAAAAGCAAAGCAAAGCAAAGCAAATCAAAGCAAAGCAAATCAAAGCAAAGCAAATCAAAGCAAAGAAAAGCAAAGCAAAGCAAAGCAAATCAAAGCAAAGCAAAGCAAAGAAAAGCAAAGCAAAAGAAAAGCAAAAAAAAAGCAAAAAAAGGAAAAGCTAAGCAAAATAATAAAAAATAAAACAAGAATTCATAAAAATCATTACAAAAAGTCAATTAATTGGATGAAAATATTGAGATGAGTGCGGAAATTTGAGAATTAGAGCCTTCATACTCATTTCCAGCTTTTATAACGAAAGAGATGTGTGCATTTGACACCTTTTTTTGACTATAACATCTTTTGAAAGAGTGAAAAACGAGTAATGATTAGGACAACCCTAATAAGCCCTAATGAACCTCATGATGCATGAGAAATGGATATCGAAAATGGATATCGATTTTGAGAAAACTTTCAAATTGATTTTAAAAAAGTGACAAACGATTTATTGAAGGAATAAGCTAAAGATTTCATTTGAAAGTAAAGCTTTCTTTTGATTTGAATTTGAAAGTAAAGCTAAAGTAAAGGTAAAGTAAAGGTAAAGTAAAGTAAAGGTAAAGTAAAGGTAAAGGAAAGCTAGAGTAAAGCTAA